ATGCATAAAGGGTGGCGATGTTTGTGTTGTGTAATGTCACGTCCATGCGCGTCGATGCATGCAGAACGTGTACGTGGATGTTGGGAAGCACACAGCGGCTGAGGTCTACTTTTGCGAAGGTGTCAATGTCGGTGTCATAATGAGCAAGGCGTCATTCCATTCGTAGGTCTCATAAACTGCACGTGATGAACGCACTTGCGTGGTTTCAAGTCGTGAAATGGAGTATTGGGCGAGATAGGTCAAAAAATATACGAAAAAAAAAAAATTCTAACCCCGTATGCAGCGAATGCATTCATTAATCAAGATGTAGGACTCATTAGACGAATCGTGATATAATATATATATAATTGGGTTGAAAAGACAAGTTGTGGGCATGCATAGCGAAGAACTGTTTTTTTGACAAGGAGATGCAGTACTTCTACTCAAGGAAGATAGACGATACTTTGTCGAATTTTAGGTACAACAAGAGGAAACGAAAGGAGTATCTATGCATAGTCAATGTTTTAGATATGAACGAACGCGAGTATGCCAACATGAAAGAGGATTTTTGGTATTTCAATTTGTAATATACCGGTATATTATTGGTGGTTTGTAAAACACAGTAAATACAGGTTGAATAAATTCATGGTCATGTCAGGAAGGAGTAAAATAGTAGAACAGATCGAGTGAACATTTTGCAAGATACATCTTCGATTGCCGCATGGCAAATAAATAATAATAGGAGTAGGGAAGGGAGTGCACCGGCTGAAAAAAAATAAACTGGGGTTCGCAGCTGGAAGTTTGGTGGTGTGTATGGAGATGCATGGGGCCCCGTGAAATCTACAAGCGCAACGTTGACATTGGTGCCAATGATCTACCATCACGTAGATGCGTAATGCTGTAACTCTCGCGCGACAACGCGACCGAGCTCCATCTATCGCCTGAACATTTTGCGCGCAAAAATTTCCGGACATAGATGGGAATCACTGCGGATCCCATAAAGAAGTATTGCTTAAAACTCGTTGCTCGCCAACAACGAACGACCACCAAAGATGGGAACAAGGTGGATCCCATCGATTGCTAAAAACATTTGCTCGCCAACACGACCAAGACCATCAAGTGTCAGGCGATACGAGACTCTCAACAAAATCCTGAGTGTCCCGACACATGCTTCTCCTTCAGCTCGCCGTACCCCGTGAACGCGGTGTCGAGCTTCGCAGTGTACCTGCTTCGGCGGCGAACAAATCGGAACAATGAGCGGAAGAAGTGGGATCGATCATGTCTCTCTCCCTCCATAAATTGTATACAAAAGTCTACTCAACCCTGGTGAGCGCCGCCGAGAGCACACGCGGCTGCGTTGTCCTCTTCCAGCGAATGGGCGTCGTCGAAAATATCTCGGTCTTGGTGTTGATCCCTGGGACCAAGCCCCATAGCCAAGAGACCGCATGAACCGCCTCCTCTTGAAACAACAGAGAGCGCAAGCCTTTCAGCCCGTGTAGAGAGGCGTCGCTACCGTTGCCTCCTGTGCATTCAACCTCGTCGATGAGATAGTCCGCGTACTGCTCGAGGTCTTGAAACACCACCAGCTGGTTGCCTCTGCACCGAGCAATCGGACCATAGGTTTCCATTTCCGCTCTGGCGTCAAGCAAACGCCTCATGACTCTGCGTGACGAAGGCCTCAATGAGTTCGGGTGGAAAAGGCATGTTGTCGGGCTGATCCCCTGACTGTTGCCGGCGTACGCCCTACATCGCGCGTACTTTTCCATGTCACCCGCGCGTCGCTCCGTCAGCATTTTTACGGCTTCCTCGCAACCAAATTTACAAATGACACAGAGAGCCTCGCCGCTGTCCACCACCCCGGCATCTAGCAGGATGGTCATGGCCTCGAAATGGCCTGCCTTGAAGGCGTTGAGGAGAGCGAGAACACCTTCGCTTGACCCGCCACACCCCTTGATGCCAAACCACATCGTTGTGGCCGTTTTGGGCGGCCATGTTTAGCGGGACAAGTTTGGATAGATACTCAAACTTCTGCACTTCACCATCCTTCTCCCGGCTCAGCATCGGGTTCGCCTTGGCTCTGAGAAGCACATTGACCGTCTCAAGGCTTCCAACTTCGGCCGCTTTGAACAGAGGTGTATCGCCAGAGAGCAGGCGGTGGTTCACGTTTGCCCTCTCCATCAGCAGCACCACCGTCACCATGACGTGCCCAAATCTCGCACTCGCCGTCAGCGGCGTGTATCCGAGTTTGTTCACCGCATCGACGCGTGCGCGGGCGCGTATCAGCATGTGAGACATGGCGTGGTCCCCGTTCCAGGCGGAGATGTGAAGTGCCGTGCCAGCGTCTTTGTTCACTGCAAGGATTTTGGCTCCGTGTTGTAGAAGGATGGCAACATTTGTGACATCCCCTTAGTGTCGAAGCACCGTCAGCAGGCGATCGTTTGACCCGCTCTTGGCGGCACTATGTAGTTGATTACACGATCCGATGCTTGCGCGCATGCTTGATTCCACGATCCAATGCTCGAGCGTACGCTTCATTCCACCCTGCATCGCATCGATATTCAGAGCGTGGTTCAAAATTAAAAAATTAACTCTTAAAGTCTAGACTACTGGTTACCTATGTTTTGTGAGATCCGGGGTGGTAAAAGATCCGGAAGATCCCCTGGTATCCTAACGTCACCCACACCCACTTCGGTTTCTATCGGTTCGCACTCTTCTATCGCGTAGGTCGGCGAACGGGATTGCGGGGGAGGAGATACATGATGTGTGTGAGCGCGTATATCGGGGCAGTCAGAAGAAGACTGCTGTGTGGTGCTCTGTGTTGGATTCGCCTCTCTACTTCGTGGTGCCCTCCCGCCCACCGGTTTCACTCCCGCCAGCTGCATCCCAACTTACTCTACCAGATCGTCACATCAGCAAGGCAGGGATCCGACAAGACTTCCGAAGGGGTACGTGCTGGAGTACTCGAGTGTTTTGTGTACCATCCCCGTCGTGCGTGTTGGCTGGGTGATTTCTGAAGCTGCGTGCTGTTTCGCCATACCGCACCTATAACCCAAACCATCCGAGCCACCAACCTTTTGTCACTACTGACTAAATACGTGTAGGTGACGGAGGGTCTGATGGACGGATCGCTACCCGCAAACGAAAGGATTCCTACCATATCTTGCATTGTAGCGCGGAATTCCTGCAAGAATGTATTCTATTAACATCATCACGCCTAACGCTTCCATTTTGTTTTTGTGACGAGGCCCACGCGCGGACTGGCGAACAAGACGGACTTGCTCGCTGCAATATTTTCTTCCTGGTGGTGGTGTCGCGACGTTCAGCACGGTGGCCTGTTCACACTCTTGTTGATGATGGTAGAAACGCTTGAGTTTCGAAGATGCTTACGTTTACGACAGGGCGTCAGACGGAGAGATGTCACCCCAAATATGGGTTTTAGACAGTGATGACGTGCACCGATGACCTCTTACTGCAATGGGGTTAGAAAAGGGGCACTCGGGGTCCTCGGTGCAAATCTGAAGCATTTTTTCGGGGTCTAACGAGCGGGTGGCGTGGCAGAGTTCAAATTTGGTCGCCGACGTACGCGCATGTAAAAGCTATGTGTTGCGTCTGCCCGACACGCCAAGACTTGATCCCACGAGCAGCTGCCCACCACGTCGGCGCTCTGGGAAATTGGGGACTCGTCTGTTAGCGCTGGATCGGCCAATCCATTGAGAAACAGCGCACAGTCGTTTTCCTCCGTGAAGGGCGTGCGTGCAGACACACATACGTACTTTGGAGCAGATGAAGATGCTGCAGCGGTAGCGGTAGAATACGAAGTTGGTCACGGAAGTATGCGTGCGTCAAAATTGTGTGTTGGGTCTGCCCGACACGCCAAGACTTGATCCCACGAGCAGCTGACCATCACGTCGACGCTCTGGGAAATCGGGGAATCGTCCGTTAGCGCTGGGTCGGCCAGTCCATTGAAAAACAGCGCACAGTCGTTTTCCTCCGGTCGAAGCGTGGAGGGCGCGCGTGCAGACACACGCGCGTACTTTGGAGCAGATGAAAATGCCGCACCGTAGCGGTAGAATACGAAGTTGGTCACAGAAGTGTGCGTGTGTCAAAATTGTGTGTTGCGTCTGCCCGACACGCCAAGACTTGATCCCACGAGCAGCTGACCACCACGTCGACGCTCTGGGAAATTGGGGGCTCGTCTGTTAGCGCTGGGTTGGCCAGTCCATTAGAAACAGCGCACAGTCGTTTTCCTCCGTGAAGGGCGTGCGTGCAGACACACACGCGTACTTTGGAGCAGATGAAGATGCTGCAGCCGCAGCGGTAGAATACGATGTTGGTCACGAAAGTATGCGTGCGTCAAAATTGTGTGTTGGGTCTGCCCGACACGCCAAGACTTGATCCCACGAGCAGCTGACCACCACGTCGACGCTCTGGGAAATTGGGGACTCGTCTGTTAGCGCTGGGTCGGCCAGTCCATTGAAAAACAGCGCACAGTCGTTTTCCTCCGGTCGAAGCGTGGAGGGCGCGCGTGCAGACACACACGCGTACTTTGGAGCAGATGAAAATGCCGCACCGTAGCGGTAGAATACGAAGTTGGTCACAGAAGTGTGCGTGTGTCAAAATTGTGTGTTGCGTCTGCCTGACACGCCAAGACTTGATCCCACGAGCAGCTGGCCGCCACGTCGGTGCTCTGGGAAAGTGGGGGATCTTCTGTTAGCGCTGGGTCGGCCAGTCCATTGAGAAACAGCGCGCGGTCTTTTTGGTCCGGTTAAAGCGTGAAGGGCGCGTGTAGATACAAACGCGTACTTTCGAGCAGATGAAGATTCTGCAGCCGTAGCGGTAGAGTACGAAGTTGGTCACCGACGTACGCGCATGTTAAGAATGTATGTTGCACTCGCCCGACACGCCAAGACTTCATCCCGCGAGCAACGGGCCGCCACGTCGACGCTCTGGGAAATTGGGGGATCTTCTGTTAGCGCTGGGTCGGCCACTCGTCCATTGACTCGGTGACGAGGAACAGCGCGCAGTCGTTTCCTCCGGTCGAAGCGCGACGGGCGCGTGCAGATACAAACGCGCACTTTCGAGTAGAAAATCGTGTTTGACACGTCGATGGACAACGTGGAAGGAGCGGGGTCGTCAAATCCATTCTCAATTACGTCAAGACGGATTCGCAAGCTTGTCACGGCCGGTTCTCCGTCAACATTGTAGCTAAAATTGATCGTGGCTAGATCAATCTTGTCACCGCCGGTTCTTCGTCAACAGAGTAAGTACTCTATATGGGAAAAAGTCATGCCCATGAGATCATAGCATGACAAAGTTGATCGTGGCTAGATCAATATCGTCACGGCCGGTTCTCCGTCAATAGAGTATGTACTCTATGGGGGAAAATCATCTTATATTGCGAACCATTCTCCTGGTTTCTGGGGAACATCAGATGGTTCAAAGGCTGAACCATTATTAAAACATAACCTTTTGGCTAGAGAGGGCCACACCTGAGATCCTTCTACGACGCCATCCGGAAGAACCAGTTCGATAGGTACAAGACATCCCTGGCCGGGTTGAGCATCGATCGCGAACAACAATCTCTCGTGGATTTGAAGAGATCGGCTTTTATTTACGACACCAGGCAGGATGTGGCAAATATATGTCAATTTGAAGAAGAGCGATACGAGACACCCACGGGACGACCACATTGCATTGATACAAATGACAAAGATGCCACCCTCTAGAACAATATAATCGGATACGCGAAAAAAATAACCACGCTCGCAAGTAGCGTGGCAACGATACTTCCGGACGAATCCAAATGCCTCGTGTCATACTTGTATAGATTCAAGGTCAAGAGATTCATGTGTAAAAGTTGTACGCTTATCGTGTGCTGCGGTTGTAAGAAGAAGATGGGCGGGGACAGGTGTTCAGCGTGCAGAGTCAAGTTCAAAGAGTAATAAATGAATCAAGATCGTCACTTCAAATACATGGAAGCCCAGACGGGGGCGCTTCGTTCACCCCGCGACACTCTGGCTATTGCATCCCTTACAGATTTCCCTTGGTCCATTTGAGACAAAACGCCTTCCACGCGCTTCTCCGTTGGCATGAGACCAGCACGAATGAATCCGTCTCGGACTGATGTCGCTCGAGCGGCGCGTGTCCGCTCGCAATCTAGCGCACGTTTGGCCTGGCCGCTGTCCACACACGCGAAATCGTAAAAACATATCCAACGCGAAAGAAAAATTTCCTCCTCAAGCCTTTCTTTCTCCACACTGCGACTAACCGGGGATGCGTGAAGTACAAACGCCATATCCTCCTCGGGGTCTAGGTTCTTTGTAGTCCTCATGTACTTCCTGGAAGATCCGTCTGAAGTCATGGCTGCGTCGATCCACTCTTGCCTACGCCCCACATAGATCGTCCTGTGACCCGCTTGCTTCCTCTCAGCATTCCAAATCCTTTTAAAAAGGATATTACGATTCTCCTCCAGTACATCACGATCCTCCCCGGATACCTTACATTGTTCCCCGAATACGAAAGGTTTTACATCTACATCTAAATCTTCCTCTGGACAGAGGATCTTCCGTGCCATGTCCAAATAGGTGCCCTTGACGTTCTTGTCGAACACGATTCTTCCCCTGTAGTTATCGAAGAACTTGTACAGTTTTTCCATGATTTCTCCGATGGGTATGGGGCTACGGGTGGACTTTATCTTGATAGCCATTTGGATACTATGACGGGATGTATACCCCACCGTGATGAACTCGGGGCTAGCCTCACCCTTCGTCAGGGCAGCCACCATTTCCGTGATGGTTTTCTCGTCTTTGACATTCCCCATGGATTCTGCGTCCTGAAACTCCAGAAAGATGGCACGCTGGCGTTGATTGTTCCATTTCTTGCACAGATTTTTTATTTCGTCCTCTTCCAGCACGTTGGGACCGTGTCCCGATGGAGACTCGACCCCGGACCCTGACGCTGGGGGAGTGTTACTGAAAGCATTTTCCAGGGGAGGTTCGTTCGCACAACGCACCCACGCTTGTCCATTTCCTTCGTTTTCACTCGACATGATGGATAGATGGTCTTGCCGTGTATGAACTATTGGGGTTCCTCAATGATTGAGACCAGGTATGAATTGTGGCAACAACACTCCTTTTGGCTCGGTAATGTTTGCCATTAACTTTTGGTTAGGGCACCAGTCACAAATTGATTCAATCACGAGAGGTGGGTGGCCAATCGATCGTCAGATGATGTGTTCGCAGAGTATTTCTACTCCATCCACGGAGAACCAGACACGACAAAATTGATCCTATGTTCGATCAATTTTGTCACGCCATAACCTCACGGACACGGGTTTCTTCTCAGTGTGTTTCTACTCCATCCACGGAGAACCAGACATGACAAAATTGATCCTTAGTTCGATCAATGTTGTCACGCCATAACCTCACGGACACGGGTTTCTTCTCAGTGTGTTTCAACTCCATCCACGGAGAACCAGACATGACAAAATTGATCCTATGTTCGATCAATTTTGTCACGCCATAACCTCACGGACACGGGTTTCTTCTCAGTATGTTTCTACTTCATCCAAGGAGAACCTGACACGACAAAATTGATCCTATGTTCGATCAATTTTGTCACGCCATAACCTCACGGACACGGGTTTCTTCTCAGAGTGTTTCTACTTCATCCACGGAGAACCAGACATGACAAAAGTATGTATGTTAACAAGACTTAGGTATCCCACGCTTCGTGTTTTCATAACATGATATTTTGGAAATACATAAAAACAAATCTTCTCACAAACAAAGAAATGAATGAAAAAGAACAAAATGACACCCTAACCGACACACAACAATCACACTGTGTGACATACACCAAATTGATCCTAGTTCGATCAATATCGTCGCGCCATAATCTAACGGACACGGGATTCGTCTGGGAGTGCTTCTACTCCATCCGCGGAGAACCAGACACGACAAAATTGTCCTCAGTCTGAGGCACCCCCCTTTCAAGTCCATGCCCTACCCCCCATCCGCCACTGCAACACCCCGGCCCTACTTCCTTGTCACCTGCAACTGCAAGGGCCAAACCCTCCCCCTCGGCACTCCTGACAACGTCTAGAACAGAAATCCGCTTTCCATCGAAGTGGTTAGGTTAAAGCTGTCGCGCGCATATTTCAGCGCGCAAAAGTCTGTGCGGCATTGCTGATCGGCACTGCCACCGGGTACACCAAGAGGAAAACGCCCGCCGTCTCGCTCAATCTGAGGCAGCCCCGTGACCAGTCCTTCCCCCCGACAACAACCACTACAATTCCATGTGCCGACTGCACGGGCGAGAATTGTTCCGCCCCACAACGCGAGAACAATCAAGAAGAACAAAGCGTTTATCACGTGCATATGGGTGTCGCCGCCGTACTTCTAAAGATTCCTCCTCCACAGCTGTCTTTGCTGTCCCCCCAGCTGGCATTGCGCCCGTGACGACATTCTTCCCTACTGTCCTCCCAGCTGGTATTGCGCCAGCGACGACACCACCCCTGCCTGCTGCCCTCCCTTCACACCCCGTTGCTGTCCTCCCAGTTGGTGTTGCGCCACCGGCGACACTCCTCCATGCTGTCCTCCCAACTGGTATTGCGCCAGCGACGACACCCCCTCTGCTACCGCTACTGCTGCTGCCGCTGCTGCCGCTGCTGCTGCTGCTGCTGCTGCTGTCCTCCCCTGCTGTGGACTTCGCCCTTTCGCAAACAAAGAACTCAAGGAAAAATAACAAAACGACACAACCAACACACAACAACAATCAAACTATGTGACATACACCAAAATTGATCCTAGTTCGATCAATATCGTCACGCCATAATCTCACGGACACGGAATTCTTCTCAGGGTGCTTCTACTCCATCCACGGAGAACCAGACACGACAAAATTGATCCTAGTTCGATCAATTTTGTCACGCCATAATGTCACGGACACGGGTGCCTTCTCAGAGTGTTTCTACTCCATCCACGGAGAACCAGACACGACAAAATTGTTTTTTTTTTTCGTTTGCCGTCCGACAATTGCAGAGTCAGTCAATACAACACAACAACTGTGCCTACTTTGATACCTCCGTATTTTTACCGCCCTTCCAGGACACAACAACCAAACATACAGAGTACATACATGCATCCAACAACGACCTGACATCCCGCGATCACGGAGAACAATAGTTGATCTTCCCTCATCTCCCTCATCTCGAGCTATCTACGTACTTCGAAGTTGTTTATGAACTAGAGGTAGATATCCCACGTTTCGTGTTTTCATGACATGATATTTTGAAAGTTATCAGACACAAATGCTCTCACAAAAAAAAAAAAAAAAATGACCGAAAAGAACAAGACGACACAACAACAGTCAAAACATGTGACATGCACCAAACTGATCCTAGCTCGATCAAAATCGTCCCGCCATAATCTCACGGACACGGGTTTCTTCTCAGGGTATTCTACTCCATCTACGGAGAACCAGGTATGACAAAATTGATCCTAGTTCGATCAATTTTGTCACGTCATCGTCTCACGCACACGGGTGCCTTCTCAGAGTGTTTCTACTCCATCCACGGAGAACCAGACATGGCGTGTCGTGAGAGCGGAAACTCCGCCAAGATCGTTGTGGCAGATCGGTTTCGTCTGATTTTGACACGATAAGCACGTCGCTCGGCTCTGTCCACCCGTCTGATCCGATCGGATTCGGTCAGCGCTCACGGCTCTGTCGATGTGTCGTGAGAGCAGTCAATCTAACGACATCCTTCCCGATGACCAAGTCGAAAAGATAAATTCCAGTCTGGCAGGAACCTTGATTTCGTGAGAGCGGAAACCCCGCCAAGATCATTGTGGCAGATCGGTTTTGTCTGATCTTGACATGACAAGCACGTGGCGCGGCTCTGTGCACACGTCTGATCCGATCAGATTTGGGCAGCGCTCACGGCTCTGCCGGTGACCGCATCAGCTATACGCAAGTACCGAATGGAAGACACCATTTGTCGTGAGAGCATTCAGTCTACCGCCATCCTTCCTCATGACCAAGTCAAATATACCGAGTACAGCATAGGAGAAACCATATGTCGTGATGGCGGAAAGTCCGCCTGGATATTTGTGGCAGATTGGTGTTGTCCGAGTTTGGCAATACAAACATGGCTTAGCGGTGAACATGCATTTTCGATCCCATTCGGACCGGGCTCAAGGTTCTGCCAATGATCAAGCCGAAAAACCCAATACGTTCGCGAGAGCGGAAACTCCTCCTAGACCTTTGTGGCAGATCGATTTTTTCTGGTCTGGACATGACAGGCACGTGGCTCGGCTCTGTGCGCACCCGTCTGATCTGATCAAACTCGGGCAGCGCTCACGGCTCTGCCGGTGACCACGTCAAATGTACCAAGTACAGTAAAGACACGATTGTGTCGTGAAAGCAGTCAATCTAACGACATCGTTCCCGATGACCAACTCAAAAATACAAATTCCAGTAGGGATAGACACTCGTTTAGTCGTGAGAGCGTTCCTTGCGGAGAGTGCAGCGTCGGCGTGGACCACGAAGCGTACATGACCGACAAGTCTTTTAACAAAGTCAAAAAGTTGCGGGCTCGAATAAATCGTGTAAACATTTCCAGGGTGGCGTGCAGATTGAATCACTCCTCCAAACATTTCCCTCGCATCATGAAGTCAACCAAATCCGGTGCGTCGTCCTCAATCAAGAAAATCTCGAAAAAAGATCATGCTCTTCTTACAAAAATGAACAAGAAGTCACCACCGCACGGATTCAGCTGTTCCCGTGCTGAGACTGAAAATGTCCCGAAGTATGCTGGTGGAGAGAACGCTGCCGCGTTCTTCGACAACTTCAAATATGTCCAAGCCAAGGAGACGGACTCATATGGAAAAGCCACGCCTCGTTCATAGTGCGAATAGTGCACGAGGAAGCACGCCAACATCCAACCGTCGGTCTTCATATCTGTTCGAAAAGTAGCGCCGGCAGTCGATGATCAGCAAGCGCTCCTGACCACACTTTCTGAGCAACGTACGTCTCGCGATCGTGTCCAGTCCCTGCTGGGGCATATCATGTAGGCGGGAACACAAGGCTTCAAGGACAGAGCTGGATCCACGATAGACTTTGTATCCCCATAGTCGCATGGACGAACGCAGCCGTCGTTGTTTTCGCGCGCGCCGAGAGCGAAATGGGTGACAGAGAGGTATGCTGGAGCTGTTGCTAGTGTGATGATCGCAAAATACCGTTCTCTTGCGCAAGGCTTTAAGGACAGACCTTAATCCATGCCGAGGGCGAAGTAGGTGACATAGAGGTATGCTGGAGCTACTGTTAGTGATGATCGCTAAGAACGTCCTCTTGCGGTCAAGCTACTCCTTTGGATCAGGCTGCCTCTTTCGAAGTACAAAATTCTCCGTTTTGAATAACAGTGATAGCTTTGTCTCCTATCGAAGATCGCGACCACGATGTGTGCAGCTGGACTTTAAAAACAAACCATTCCTGAGCACTACCCCGGTCTGCTCTTGTGTACCCATACCCGACACCAACAGCGACCGGACCCCTGTTGGAGTACAATGCAAACGGCTGAGCAACGCATGTGCAGTCTTGCTGTAGCTTGTGGATATCCTAACGCGCTGGGTGACCAAGAGGCGCAGACCATTTGAAAAGGCGCAGATGGAGACTGTCCGCAACAGATCGACCAAAGCACACGGCCAATGGATCGCTACACTCGACGATCCCTTTCGACCGTCAGGGACCGAGTGTAGACAAGGAACCGAACTTAATCGCTGCCTCATCTTTTCAATGCCACGCCCCCAAGACCCCAAAGACCCCGATCCCAACATTCAGCCGTTGTCATGTTCCACTCTGACTGTTATGGTTTAGGTTGCGCAGGGCCGGGGCAATTTCTCCTCCGAAAATCACCCGCTCAGCGAACTGATTCCAAACGTCTCTGTTTTTGATGTTGTTGGGAAAAGTTGCAACGTTTGGAAAGGAAATTACATATAGCTAGTTGGGACCAGCGCACAATCGACCTGATTCAGAGTTTGTGTTTTTCCCAAGTCGATCGCTTCCTGTGGGCCCATCGCCCGTCTATTTTGGAGAGGACAACGAAGGAATTCATCACGAGCCAATCACCTAGCAGGGGCCTACCGTACTCTACACCCGTCACCAGACAGCTACAATGGGTGAGTTACGCCCGGGCGACAAGTCCCAAAACCATATTTTTAGACGGCAATTTGAACGTTGTTTTTCAACACTACAGTGCACTCCCCTACAACTTTAACTCCGCCACCACTGTTCCATCGAAGAGCACCTTGTAGGCTGCGACGTCTCTAGTTTACGTTTGAAGTCTCGCAGTCGTTTCACACGCTTGAACGCAGGCACGAAAAACAGGGAGCGGAGGCGGAAGACGCACGATCTTCCAATACGGCTCCTGCGATCGGTTTATCTCCTCCGCTATGCGTGCCGCGCCAGCTACGCCCTCGACCCAAAAGGCCCGCTTCAACTTCTTCATATGGAGAATGTTACCGTGCAACGTAGCGGAAGTCCTCAAATTACTACGGTGCTTAACGTACTCGAACCCGTGCTCTTTGGGCAAGCCTGTCAAACCAAGCATCCACCGATGAAATAGAGTCGACTGAGAACTTCTAGGCCTTTTGCACCGTTGGGCACGAGTACTAGTTGAATCATATTGGTCGGCGTAGACTGACTTCCCTCCCTTGTGCTCTGTCGAACACGAGGAAGGCCGGGACGTCTTCCGTTTCATGAGGAGTGACGTCTTCGAGGTGGACGACAGCACATTTGTAGACGAACGCCATAATATTTTGCCTTGTCTGGTGCCCGGACTGTTCGTTGACGTCCGCCCCTTAACTTCCGCAAAACGAGTATCGTATCGACAACAAAACAAATGCACGGCGAGACCATTCCAATGACCAAGTGTCTGCTCAACAAGTACACAGCGGTTGGTGGCGGGGGTAGCAGTAGCACTAGTGGCGACTCCGACAACAATTCAGACCAGAGCGCGGTGCGGAAAACCGCCGGAAGTGGCAGTGGTCGGGACTCCCGATGACAACTCAGACCAGAGCACGGTACCGCAAACCATAGGAACCAAGCGATACTTCACCAAGATCGGATGATTGTAAGTAAATAACTTTGGTGTGGACTGAAGCACCCCCCAGCCTCACTCGGAGCTATGGCCTCTTCTCGCGCCAACAAACGCGCGAAAGTTTCGTCGTCAGCGAAAGAATCCGTAACGACGCTCGACAATATGGCATTCGATGAGAAAGACGTGGCCGAATCGAAAACGCACACCAAAATGACTTTCCGGTGCCCGGTCACGATCGACAACGTCTTCAGCGCGCCGACGCCCACGCAGGTCAAGGTGTTCTACGAGTCCAGGAGCAGCAAAGGGAAACCTTTTGATCACTTGCCCGAAGGCGAGAAGCTTGCCTGGACCGAGTCGTTCCACGACAACAAGACGTTGATGGGATATATTGTGTACGCCCAGCTTTTCCCCAAGCTGTTGCAGAACAGAATCAAGCTCAACGCCGCAACGTACCACTGGGCGCATCTGGACAACTCCTCGGAAAAGGGGAGGACCAAACTCGAACAACGTCGCAACGCCGTAGACAGGCTCAAGAGAAATGGCTTCACGCGCTCGGTCTTTATGGGACTTCCGTACAGGGTGGACACCTCGGCAAACATACTGGCCTACATGAAGATGGACGTGGAGGAAGAGGACGAGCGCTTCAGGTTTTTCACCAAGCGCGAGTTCTCCATGATTTATTCGAATCGGGGACAAGTCGGCAGTTCGTCTGTGTACGCCTCGTGCTCCATGGCGCTGTCCCTACTCTGGTTTGCAACGGCGATTTTGGCCCGGCCCTGCTGCCTCGAGTCCATCATCCTTCCACTCTCCGTCACGGAAAGGCGAGCGATGGAGCAGAGATTCAATTGCCCGCCGCAATTTTTCGACGGGCCCATCCAAAGCTTTCAAACCAACTGGAAAGACGTGTTCGCCGCCATCGACACGCATCATCGGAACATCAACTACACGATGCTCGAGAAAGCGTGCGAACACAAGTACATAAAGGGTGTGCACATTGCCGATGTCTATGCCGTGTTTCGAGCGACCATGACGGCCCCAAATGACATGAACAGCATCGCGGCGTTGGTGCGATCCTACAACCAACATGCGAAGCACGGGGTCGAATCCGGGACTGTGGTCGGCGTTATTGATGTCATCAGGGACAAATCGGTCGAAGCCATTGGTAAAATCGACGGCGGGGTGCTAGGCAGCATCTTTTCTGCCTACGGAGAGAGGGCGTGCCTCAAGGTCCAAGCGGAGTGCAGCAGGCTTGAAGGAGGGTCGTCTCTGTTTGACGACAGTGTCAGCAACAAGCTAAATGAAATTTTGGCACACTTCGATTGCGAGCTGTGGAAGGCCCGAAAGAAGGACAAGGTGGAGCGGATAGTTGCTGCCAACATGGACCCCGCCGGCATGAACAAAAAGATTGAGGGAGGGAAGATGCTCGACCCCACAGACCCGAAATCAATTGAGCTCATGCACGCCATGCTTCAGACTATCTCGGGGCAGGTTTGGAAACCCCTGAAGAAAATGATTGGGGAAGCGCTGGGTGCAAGCCTCGAGTACCCTGCCGCGTTCCTCCGCATTTCACAGGAAGAGGGAGAACAGCTGTACAAGCACGTGCTTACTGCGGGTGTTACGTATACCGACGTGGCTAATCTCTGTACGCTTCTTCTCCTGAGCTTCTCGTTCCAGCGCTCGCAGGTGCTGCGAGAAGCAACCGTCGACGAGTTTGTGCTCGTGCCAGACGCGACGCACTACAAGTTTTCGTTCAAGAACAGAAGGTTCAAAACAGCATCTTCGGGAGGGACCTCATCTGCACCGCCTGTGTCACACTTTATGCTGTCGCCCGATCAGTCCATGATCACACGGTTCATAGCTATCGTGGGACACAGGTTTTGCGGCACACTATGCTTGGACAATGAAGCCAGGAGGCTGTTTGTCAACACCAAGGGTCAGAGCTGGACGCAGAAGGACATATCGTCGCGCTTCAAGAGAATTGGCATGCATTGGTTGGGCATCTCCAATTTTGGACCCCATGTCTGTCGAACCTTTTGGTCCACGCATGCCCTCAACTCTGGACAAATCAGTGGCTCGAATTTGGAGGACTTCAGTAGCTTTCTCCAAGTTTCGAGTACCACTCTGAGGAACAGCTATATGGCGGCATCCGCGAATACCGCCGCGCACACCGTGGGAAACGAAGTGTTGGGGGCGGTAGTAAACTCCGCCTGCACGGGAGAAATGACAGAGAAGGGTGCTCGGCCGTACGGGAAGAAACTCAGCGCTAGGAGGCTTGAGTTTGCGGGAGAGATTCGAGCCTCTCTCGCAAAGTACAGTGGTGATGGTAGACTGCTGTTCCGTGCTCTTTTGCAGAAGAGGGATTCTTCTCAGCTTGTAGAGGGAGAGAATTGGTTCCGTTGGGAGAATACTTTTTTCAGTCAGAGCGATGAGCGGCTGTTTCAGCGATTTGTGGATAAGATGAACGCTTAACTACATTTTACGGAACCTGTCTGTGAAGAAAAGCCCCGCCATTTGGGGCGAGTGTCAAAAAGTTATTGTTTACAGCAATAGTTGGATGGGTGGCAGGGAGGAGTCACTACTGCTGGTTCGACCGTGCACAAGGCATTAATGGGGGTTGTGCAGCTGTTGATACACAGCTGTTCCTCACACATTTTTTTTCAGTCATATTTCTATCCGACAGGAGGATCTCAAAAGCTTCACGAACGTAAAGCACGCGTGGAGCACTTGTACCGTTCGTGCATGACAACTTGTCACCCTTATTTCCTGATGCTACCACCGCTGCCGACGCAGACAAAATGATACGATCACGCACGCACACACCTCTCATATTGGTTTTCAGATTCCATGAAGGCCTGAGTCACAGCCACAGCAAAAGGACCATCCCCATCAACCGACCCTGCACTCCATCCCTCCAGCACGTTCGAGATGGCACGCCCGTTGGCTCCCTCAGTTGCCCGGTGGGCGTATGCGCGTAGTGTTGGCAAGGCGACACCCACCGTGCTACATCGATCGTTCGCAGGCTGCCACGTATGAAGAGGACGGCCAGTCGGCCGACGGTGCTTTTGGCGGCTTTGTCCAGCTGCGTGCAGTAGAATTGGAGAAGAGCGAAAGTGCACGTTGTATTAAAAAAAAAACTACATGAAACACCATTTCTCTCCATCCCTTCGCGTCTCACCGACAGGTACAACAGCAAGAAAGACGGCGCGTTCCTCGGGTACGAGAAGGAGAACAAAAGGGGGAAACCTGAAAGAAAACATCAAAGCGCAGGAAATACTGAGGAGAACCACGGGATCGTGATCGGTCGGCAAGTCGGGATGGTGACCGGTACTCATAAATTGAACCAGGTGAAGGCGGGTAGATAGGATGTCGGTCATCGGCTCGGCCATGTTGTTTCACATTCTTTTGAAAGAGAGATCAAGTAGAGCTGGCATCTCAACACCTGACCATCAGATTTCAAAATCTGGCTTTCGCAAACTATACTGTATTGAGTTTTCCAAAATCTGTGAAACAGGTTTCTTGGTACTAAAACCAGTCTTCTGGTGACATGACTAAACACCCTAGCCTCTTATCTTGATAAAAATTTAAGACATACTCTGCAATGTACCGCATGGACAGGCAAGTGACACGGTCAGCAGAGAGCTGGCATATCAAACCATGCCACTAGATCTCAAATTCTGGCCTGCGCAAACTAAAATGAATTTTCCAAAATCTGTGAACCTGGTCTAATGAGATGACCAAACACGCAAAGCCCTACCTTGAGATGTACTTGTAGAAGTACGCTGTACTGTACCGCATGGATAAGAGAATACTGTCAAGTGGACTGGGTCGATGTGCGACAACACGGCCGAGCAGATGTGCGACAAAACGAGAACTTGCCGGAAGCGATGGCCGGCAACAACACGGCCGAGCCGCCAAGACGCGCGACAGAACAAAAACATGCTTGAATCGATGGCCGGCAACAACACGGCCGAGCCACGAAGACGCGCGACAAAACGAGAACTTGTCGGAATCGATGGCCGACAACACGGCCGAGCCGCGAACATGCGCGTCAGAACGAGAACTTGCCGGAATCGATGGTCTACAACACGGCCGAGCCGATCAGCGACAGCACACGCGGCGGCGTTTGGCTATACATGCGGTACGCTACAATGTATGTCTACGGGTACACCTCAGGGTAGTGGTTAGGGCGTCTGGTCACATCATTAGAAGACTGGTTGTCGTATCAAGAGATCAGTTTCACAGGTTGTGGAAAATTAAACATAGTTTGTGAAGGCCAGAGTCCGAAATCTGACGGCCTGGTTTTGAGACGCCAGCTATCAACTTGCTCAATCTTTCAAATAAATGTGGGAGAAAACGGCCCAGCCGATGGCCGACAACACGGCCGATGCGCGAAAACCCGCGACAGAACGAAACGTTGCCGAAACGGATGGCCGATCACAACAACACGGCCGAGCCGCGAAAACGCACGGAAACTTGCTCGAACCGATGGCCGGCAACAACACGGCCGAGCCGCCAAGACGCGCGACAGAACGAGAACATGCTTGAACCGATGGCGGGCAACAACACGGCCGACCCGCGAAGACGCGCGACAAAACGAGAACTTGTCGGAACCGATGGCCGACAACACGGTCGAGCCGCGAACACGCGCGACAGAACGATAACTTGCCGGGACCGAACGGCAGCATCACGGCCGAGCCGCGAGCACGCGCCACAGAACGACAACTTGCCGGGACCGAACGGCAACAACACGGCCGAGCCGCGATTACGCGCCACAGAACGAGACCTTGCTCGAACTGATGGCCGGCAACAACAGAACAAGACCTTGCTCGAACCGATGGCCGGCAACAACACGGCCGAGCCGCGAGCACGCGCTGCAGAACGACAACCTGCTCGAACTGATGGCCGGCAACAACACGGCCGAGCCGCGACTGCGCGCCACAGAACGAGACCTTGCTCGAACTGATGGCCGGCAACAACAGAACGAGACCTTGCGCGAAACGATGGCCGGCAACAACGGCCGAGACGCGAACACACGCGACAGAACGACAACTTGCCGGAACCGATGGCCGACACCACGGCCGAGCCGCGAACACACGCGACAGAACGAGGACTTGCCGGAACCGATGGTCGACACCACGGCCGAGTCGCGAACACGCGCCACAGAACGACAACTTGCCGGGACCGAACGGCAACAACACGGCCGAGCCGCGATTACGCGCCACAGAACGATACCTCGCTCAAACTGATGGCCGGCAACAACAGAACGAGACCTTGCCGGAACCGATGGCCGGCAACAACGGCCGAGCCGCGAACACGCGCCAAAGAACAAGAACTTGCCGGGACTGAACGGCAACAACACGGCCGAGCCGCGAGCACGCGCTGCAGAACGACAACCTGCTCGAACTGATGGCCGGCAACAACACGGCCGAGCCGCGACTGCGCGCCACGGCACGAGATCTTGCTCGAACTGATGGCCGGCAACAACAGAACGAGACCTTGCTCGAACGGATGGCCGGCAACAACACGGCCGAGCCGCGAACACGCGCCACAGAACAAGAACTTGCCGGAACCGATGGCCGTCACCACGGCCGAGCCAATCAGCGACAGCACGAGCGGCGGCTTTCCCTTACCCATGCGGTACGCTGCAATGTATGTTTACGGGTATATCTCAAGGTAGAGGGTGGGGTGTCTGGTCACATCATCAGAAGACTGGTTTTAGTATCAAGAGACCAGTTTCACAGATGTTGGAAAGTGGAATGTTGTTTGTGGAAGCCAAAATCCGAAATAAGACGGCCTGGTCATGAGACGTCAGCTATCAACTTGATCTATCTTGCAAACGAACGCGGGACAAACCGGCCGTGCCGATGGCCGACAACACGGCCGAGCCGCGAGAAGACGCGCGACAGAACGAGACTGAGCCGGAACCGATGGCCGGCAACGACACGGCCGAGCCGCGAAGAAGCGCCACAGAAAGATACCTTGCTTGGATTGACGACCGGCAACAACAGACCGAGAACTTGCTCGAACCGATGGCCGGCAACAACACGGCCGAGCCGCGAACACGCGCCACAGAACGACAACTTGCCGGAACCGATGGCCGACACCACGGCCGAGCCGATCAGCGACAGCACCAGCGGCGGCTTTTCCCTACCCATGCGGTACGCTACAATGTATGTCTACGGGTATATCTCATGGTAGAGGGTAGGGTGTCTGGTCACATCATCAGCAGACTGGTTTTAGTGTCAAGAGACCAGTTTCACAGATGTTGGAAAGTGGAATGTAGTTTGTGAGAGCCAGAGTTCGAAATCAGACGGCCTGGTCATGAGACATAGCTATCTCCTTGATCCATCTTGCAAATGAATGTGGGACAAACCGGCCGAGCCGATGGCCAACAACACGGCCGATGCGCGAGAAGACGCGCGACAGAACGAGACCCTGCCGGAACCGATGGCCGGCAACGACACGACCGAGCCGCGAAGATGCGCGACGGATAGAGGACGTGCCGGACCTGATGACCGGCAACAACAGAACGAGAACTTGCTCGAACCGATGGCCGGCAACAACGCGGCCGAGCCGAGAAGACGCGCGACAGAACTGATGGCCGGCAACAACACGGCCGAGCCGCGAAGACGCGCGACAGAACGAGAACTTGCCGGAACCGATGGCCGACAACACGGCCCAGCCGATGTCCGACAGCGCGAGAAGATGCCCGAACCGACTGCCGGCAACATGGCCGAGCCGATGAGCAACAGCACGAGCGGCGACTTTTGCCTATCCATGCGGCACATCGTAGAGATTAGTTTTTCAACCATCGCTACATCTCAAGGTTGTGGTTAGCGTATTTGGGCACATCACCAGACAATGGTTTTAGTAAGTACCAAGAGACCTGTTTCGAAGATTTTGGAAAATTTAATATAGCTTGCGCCGGCCAGAATTTGAAATCTGACGGCCTGGTTTTAAGGCACCAGCTTTTTTACTTGTTTGATCTTCAAAAAAATGGGTTGGTTCCGCGACGGGGCATTTTCTTGTTTGGAACGTTATAAAAAGTGTCATTGATGCGCGCGCCAGGATCAGCCAAACTAATATGTGTTGTTAGCATTAAATGGCTCTGAGTCACCCTAACCTTGAGCTCCACATCGAGCCGGTGCTCGTCGATTCCAACACCATATTCCAACTTGTGCACGAATGGTACGAACGCTTACCGTACGTAGGAATATGGCATCACGACGACCAAGTGTATGTGTTCGTGCGAAACAAGGAGCGTTTGTCTAGCCTTAAAGTCACGGAGCTACTGGATGGATAATGTCGTCATTCAAAAAATATCCATATATTCTAAGGAATCGGGAGCGAGACCAGTGCGTGGAAATGGTGGGGCTAGTTTAACGTCAACAGGAAACTCGCGTACCGCACACCGCTGGTCAAGCCAAATCGCTTCTCCCTTTTAAAGAAAACACTCTTGCAATCACGGGCGAGGCATTAAAATCTGCATTTCGAGCAAGAAATACCCGAGAGAGACTGCAACAACCGAACACGAAAGCATATTCCCATTCCATGAAATCAAGGACCCTCGCGAGCTTGCACGACACGGCCGGGGCGAGGTGGTCGCTCAGCCTCTTGGTGCGCTTGGCCCGTGCACGAATGAGGGGGCCCACGGGACCGCCGTTGCTGTTGCGGCGGCGGCGGTCAGTCTGTGCTACTTCCGCATCGGCTGCGTGGAAGGCGGGCGCCGGTTCCTCCATTTCTGTGTCTGTTTCGCTATCGGAGATGTTGTGGACGACGGGAGCCGGCTCTTGAAGTTCGATGTCTGTGTTGTTTCCCATCCTGAATGTATGAGGATGAG